TAAAATCAATACGATAGTATGACCTAAATCTGCAAAGTGCATTTTACCATTCTTCCAATACCTAATACTAAATTTCAATTGATACTTTTTAAAACAGAGTTTGGCATTAATGTGTATTGTTCTTGTAACATAGGTCAAACATGAATTGTATATATTGATTCAAGTTTAATTTTAAAACAAGTTCTTGCAATTTTAATTCGAGTCTTTCTTTGAAAGAGCCAGAAGTGGTGTCATTTGTGGAAACAAATATGTTCATGACCTGAGTAAAGTTCGAACCCTGGTTCTCAGGCTTGACCGGCCGGTGGTCACCGTAAACTCTAAGTCACTGGCCTCATTTATCCTAGACAATACTGACAAGTCTACGAATACAATACTCACAGTGGAAAGTGTCATAAAATACTTTAAAGTGATACATAACGAACAACAATTTGTATGTTGTATATCTTCAAAGAAAGGGGATATAGATATTTAAATATTGGCATTTTAACACATAATAGTATTTTATCCTATAGAACTACAGTTTATTGGACACCCACAGAATAATTATTTTCTATGGCATAATATTAAAGTGCTATGTCCTGGCACCCAAAACATGAATAATACAACGATTCCAATGAGCGTGCATAAGAGTCTTGATGAAAGTAGCATACGGATTACTATTATACCAGAAATTTAAAATGAAGCTATATATTTCTATGCTTTATTTTCTCTAGGCAATGTGCGCATGCGTGCGAAAATGATGCAAAATCTTGATTCTGCATTGCAACGATGCGGGATGTTTTTTCAATAATTCTGTTTCTGGTTGACTCAATGTTTTATCCACCAATAAAAAGAAAAACAAAGTAAAAGATGAAAATATTTTGATAATACCTCATTATATACGGTATTATCTTAGATTAATGGTTCCAGATGTCTTTTTGAGTAATCAGTCCGGTATTAAGAATGTTTCTAAAATTATTTTTGAATTGGAGAAAAATCTTCCATCGAAGACTGATATAGGTTTGCAATATATACATATATATAGGTATCGTATTGTAGATAAAGCATGTTCCATTATTTACCTCATGTACATATAAATGATATGTTTCAACAGAGCAAGAAATTAAAACAGTCAAAGTCATGATGTTGAAAAAAATAGGTAACTGATTACATGTGTCTTAATAACATTCAACAGTTCTTTCCCTTCTACAAAACAATTATAATATATTGTTGCCAAATATATGTGAAAATAATCATTTTTAAGCATTACATGTGAGTAACATGTGTGTTGCAGATTCCGCCTGGCTTTAGTATAATTCTAGGTAGGAATAACATACGCCTTTAATAACAGTTTAGAAATACATTGTTTTATATTACAGGTATTCCTAACAAAATGAAATTTGTACTAATTGTAATAACGCCTTTTTGGAAGTCTTAAAAAGTAATCGGTAAAAGTGGTTGTAAATGTTAATGGAGATATATCGAATCATATTGATAATGTATTGTGCCAGTGATAATCTGGTTTAATTCATTATTTACTAATATTTACCATGGTGCTCATTTGGATTCAGATATAAAGGATGAGAACGTTGATAACAAAGGGTTGCCTACCAATGTTACTATTATCATTTTGAAATGAGAGTTCACAACTATGTAAAGCAATTGGAAACGATGTGACTGATAAAGAGCTTAAACAAAACACGTCTGCTCAACATTCTTTGTACGTGTTTTATTTAATGTATGCATAGACCGTGGTAGTTTCTTCTTTTGGGCTTCATGCATTTTCAATCATATTCCTTAGTCTTCCTCAGAAAAGCACTATCATACAAGGTATAGCTTGTAACATATCCACTGGCAATAAAATGAGTTATGCGATAAAGGTATCGCTATATATATGAGCCGGTTAAACGCCATTAATCGGCGAGTTTAAGCACTTTTAAAACATATTTTTGTGGGGAAACTTTTATTCATTTTATACAGAATTTATTTTGGTTTGATTGCGTAGAACATATAGACAGTCTCGAATCAGTCCCTAAAACTGCAGAGCTATAAGCTTCGTAATTGCTCCGCGCCCACAGGTGCAGAGCTATTGTGTTCACTATTTTTTGTCCATGAACCCGATTTTTATTACTTAATCCCTTCGATTTACAGCTAAAAATAAATTCGGAATCAAGAATTTCTTCCGATTTCTTTTATGTAAAGTCATATTTTGGTTTCCCCTTCGGTCATGCGCAGCCTATCATATTAATGAATGCGAACGGGAAGTAATTTCACGCCTCAACCGTTGGGTAGGCAGTTTAAATGACAAAACAAACATTAAACTTAAATTCGGTAATTTATTTCTTACATTTGTATCTTCTGTATGGAATTAATTATTATTTTGTATTACAAAGTGGGTTATGTATTTATTTTATTACTGTACATGAATTCGAATGCTATAAATAGATGACCTAGCTTTGCATTGCGAAAGTCCGAAAATCTATTTATAGAAATAGTTTTAGTTTTGAGTCTGAAACTAAACGAAACGGTCATTCGTGTCGCGCTACGATAATAAATCACGAACTGGAGAATTTTGCAGGAAATGAAATGCAAACATATTCAACCGGAAATTGAACTTTTTATAAATTTATCGAAAAAAAAATAAGTAGGCAATTTTTATGAATTATTATATCATAGTACTATCATTTTGAAATTGTCTTTTCCGTAGGTTCTATTCGCTACATTGATAGCTCATTCATTTTTAAGGCCCTAATTACACCACTGACATATTTTACCGTGAATATTTAAATCGACCCTGATTTCTCGAACTTTTGCTGTAAGAAGTTGATTCTATTTTATTTATGGCGGTTTGAGTGGAATGTTGATTTGCAAAATACTGTGTTTGTACATAACACACCGGTAGGAAGTTAGCAGTAGCAGTGAGCAGTAGCAGTAGCAGTAGCAAAATTATAAAACGTGAAGTTGGCAGTAGCAGTAGCTCAGCAGTAGCAGTAGCAAAATAATAAAACGTGAAGTTGGCAGTAGCAGTAGCTCAGCAGTAGCAGTAGCAAAACAATAAAACGTGAAGTTGGCAGTAGCAGTAGTTCAGCAGTAGCAGTAGCAAAACAATAAAACGTGAAGTTGGCAGTAGCAGTAGCTCAGCAGTAGCAGTAGCAAATTTATAAAACGTGAAGTTGGCAGTAGCAGTAGGACAGCAGTAGCAGTAGCAAAATAATAAAACGTGAAGTTGGCAGTAGCAGTAGCTCAGCAGTAGCAGTAGCAAAATAATAAAACGTGAAGTTGGCAGTAGCAGTAGCTCAGCAGTAGCAGTAGCAAAACAATAAAACGTGAAGTTGGCAGTAGCAGTAGCTCAGCAGTAGCAGTAGCAAATTTATAAAACGTGAAGTTGGCAGTAGCAGTAGGACAGCAGTAGCAGTAGCAAAATAATAAAACGTGAAGTTGGCAGTAGCAGTAGCTCAGCAGTAGCAGTAGCAAAATAATAAAACGTGAAGTTTGGCAGTAGCAGTAGCTCAGCAGTAGCAGTAGCAAAACAATAAAACGTGAATTTGGCAGTAGCAGTAGCTCAGCAGTAGCAGTAGCAAAACAATAAAACGTGAAGTTGGCAGTAGCAGTAGCTCAGCAGTAGCAGTAGCAAAACAATAAAACGTGAAGTTGGCAGTAGCAGTAGCTCAGCAGTAGCAGTAGCAAATTTATAAAACGTGAAGTTGGCAGTAGCAGTAGGACAGCAGTAGCAGTAGCAAATTTATAAAACGTGAATTTGGCAGTAGCAGTAGCTCAGCAGTAGCAGTAGCAAAATAATAAAACGTGAAGTGGCAGTAGCAGTAGCTCAGCAGTAGCAGTAGCAAAACAATAAAACGTGAAGTTGGCAGTAGCAGTAGCTCAGCAGTAGCAGTAGCAAAACAATAAAACGTGAAGTTGGCAGTAGCAGTAGGACAGCAGTAGCAGTAGCAAATTTATAAAACGTGAATTTGGCAGTAGCAGTAGCTCAGCAGTAGCAGTAGCAAATTTTATAAAACGTGAATTTGGCAGTAGCAGTAGCTCAGCAGTAGCAGTAGCAAATTTATAAAACGTGAAGTTGGAAGTAGCAGTAGCTCAGCAGTAGCAGTAGCAAAACAATAAAACGTGAAGTTGGCAGTAGCAGTAGCTCAGCAGTAGCAGTAGCAAAACAATAAAAACGTGAAGTTGGCAGTAGCAGTAGGACAGCAGTAGCAGTAGCAAATTTATAAAACGTGAATTTGGCAGTAGCAGTAGCTCAACAGTAGCAGTAGCAAAATAATAAAACGTGAAGTTGGCAGTAGCAGTAGCTCAGCAGTAGCAGTAGCAAAATAATAAAACGTGAAGTTGGCAGTAGCAGTAGCTCAGCAGTAGCAGTAGCAAAACATAAAACGTGAAGTTGGCAGTAGCAGTAGCTCAGCAGTAGCAGTAGCAAATTTATAAAACGTGAAGTTGGCAGTAGCAGTAGGACAGCAGTAGCAGTAGAAATTTATAAAAACGTGAATTTTGGCAGTAGCAGTAGCTCAGCAGTAGCAGTAGCAAAATAATAAAACGTGAAGTTGGCAGTAGCAGTAGCTCAGCAGTAGCAGTAGCAAAACAATAAAACGTGAAGTTGGCAGTAGCAGTAGCTCAGCAGTAGCAGTAGCAAAACAATAAAACGTCAAAAAGTTTACCTAGACATAAAATAAAGAGAAAAATTGTTTGTATGGATGTAATATCACAATAAATTCACTTGAACACCAAAAATTTTTATTTTCAATAGTGGCTGTGCCACTCTTGAAATATATCACTTTTGGTGCCCACTCTGTGAAATTATATATTACACTGAAACCAACAATTATGTTCAATGTAAAGTTCCCTCGTCAAAGAGATTGAATGATTACTTTCATATTACTTTCATATGAGAGGCAATTGACATGTGTAAGATACAAATTTATTTTCCACAGCAAACGGAATTAAAAAGGAAGTCAATCCTGAAAAGCTTTTTATACCTTTAGTCTATTACAGCAAACTTCATAAGAAATGTTACTATTTCAGGGACTTCTTGGAACAGTCGGATGCCGGTTTGTCAAGATTGAATGTAGAAGAATTTCAAGTATGTAATCAATGTTTAGCTGAAACAATAAACAGAATATAATTGTTCTTTTAGATGTATGATCTTGTATTATTTCACAGAGTGAAAGTTAAAATTGCTATTTTCACAAGAGCCGAAGTCACAAGTGTAAATGATAACTTTTATGTTAACAAGTGAGTTTGGCATAAAACTATTTTAAAAACCCGTGGCCTTTTTAGATATTTTTATAAAAAATAGGCAAAACGTCAGGGTATTTTTTTCACAAAATGATGTCATTGATGTGACATAGAAGTGATATTGATGTGATAAATAGGAAATGCCTAATGTCTTTGTTATACATGGGCATGGGAACACAAATATTATTAGGGAAATGATCGGCTATTCATTTATATTTCAGTAAATTACTGAAAAGCATAAAATAAATACAATTCCAACATTACAAAAGTACTCTGCATGAATAGAGTAAAAGTTCCTATCCATTAAAATGTATATGAAATTTTAAAAAAGGTTTTCAATCATTATATGTAATTAAATAGATTAAATAGCTTTTTTGATAGTTTTTTCAGGGTATCTAGCTGGTCATTACACGATTTTTTGTCAGCTCACCTGCTGACATTGTGAGCTTTTGTGATCTCCTGTAGCCTGTAAATGATTTCTTAAAACAATATCTTCTCATTAACCACCAGAGAAATTTCCTCTAAACATCACAAGAAGGTACCTTGGGTAAAGTTCTACCAAAGTTGTTAAAAGAATTTCATTCCATACATAATTCTGGTTTCCATGGCAACAAATACATTAAAAAGAAATAAATTCAAAAATTTGATTCTGAAAACCACTGTGCCCAAGCTTAGATATATTGTATGCAGCATTGTCTATAGGTACTTCATGATGATTGCCCAAATTAATAAGCTGCAGTCAAAAATGACCCGACCCCAGGGGTCACAAGTTTTATAATACTCGTTTATAAAATATTTTTAGAAAGATTTTCTTTCCAAAACCACTGGGCTTGGAGTTTAAATATTTAGTATGTAGCATTGTTTAGAGTTTTTTTGCCAATACTTTTTATCTTTTTTTTCCACTGGTATTAAAAAGGCCCAAGGGTGTCAAATTTTACACAGACTTGTAGGAAAGCTTTCCAGATAGTCTTCAAAACTGCTTGGTCTAGAGCCTAGATATTTACTTTGTAGCATTATCTTGAGGGCTTTTACGAAGAATGTTCAAATTGCTTTGTTAGGGTCAAAAATGAGACCTACCCGCGGATCACAAGTTTTACAATGACTTATATAGGACATTATAGGAACAAAACTTTTACAAAACTGATATGTCTAGAGGTTTGGTAATTAGTATGTAGTTTCATCTAGTTGTCCATGACATTATTCTGCTTGGGTCAAAAATGACTCTTCCACATGGGTTAAGTTTCATATAGACTTATATAGGAAAATATATGGACATCTCCTTCAAACCCATAAGGCATAGAGCTTAAATATTTTATACATGTACTTAGCATCATCTACAGGTCTTCACCAACTTTGTTTACTTGCAAGGTTTACATAGATTAAGATTTTAAAAATGTTCTTCAATATCACAGTGCTTAAAGCTAAATTCTAACACTCACGCTGTTATGTTTTCACCCTCGATTGCATAGTTTACAAAGCATTTAAAAGCAACAATAAAAAGCATTTTTATTTATATTTTCAGTTTGTATAATGTTTTCTTTTCATACAATACCGAAATGATATCTCACATACACTAACGCCTCATATTAAATCCATATCAGTTAATAAATATTTTGACAAAACGGCGCCAATCCGTCAGCAGCGTAATGACGTCATCTTAAGTAAACAACTCATTCATAAACAAGCTAACGTTATTTCATACATACAAGAACAACATGGGGCATTGATGTAAACGTAATACGACGTAAGTTTTAATTGTTGAAAACTTGATAAAATAACGTTTATTTTTTTATAATTTCTTTTGTTTGATAATTTCTATATCTTCGCAGTAGGGTTGAAAATCGAACAGCGTTATACGAAAATCGGCACCGTTAGTTATTTCCGCTTGAAAAATAACATTAGTGATTTTCCTTATTTTGTCGTGTTAGAATCGAAATAACATCGGCCTGAGAGGTGTATATCGGCTATTTAACACCAGTTTTGTCGTTTTGATGCGACAAAATTAACCACTCAGGCCTACGGCCTTCGTGGTCAATTCCTACGCATCAAAACTCCAAACCGGTGTTAAATAGCCGATATACACCTCTCAGGCCGATGTTATTTCTTAAATTTATGTTTTTTTAGCATCATCTATAGAGATCCTATACAAATTGTCCTGGGGTCAAAAATGGCCCCACTCTAAGGGTCACCAGTTTTATTCAGACATTATAGGAACTACTCGAATTAAAAATTTAAACCTCACTTTAAGACATACAGTTTAGATTTTTATAATGTTAATATAATCTAAAACTCTACAGGAAGTAAACTTTAACACCAGGACTTGAACTCAGGTGGGCAATTTAAGACCATGATGGAAAGAAAACTTGAAAATTACCCATGCACAGTATGAAGTAATACTAGATTTTACATATGATGAATAAAACAAACCAACATGCAAAGTAGCCATGTCTGTAGGTAAAATTAATTGTAAAGCACAAGAAGGATCCAATCATTTCTTCGAGTAGTATATGTCATTTCATTATTTTTAGGATTTACCAAAGCAGCAGAACAGTAATGATTGCGGTGTGTTCATGTGTCAGTTTGGGGTGTGCAGGGCTTTTAAAAAGCATGTTAATTTCACACAGGTATAAAGTAATGTCTTTAATTGGTGATTAAGTAATTAAGAATGACAGACAAAATATAAATTTATTATATAGTGTTAAGTAAAATAGTGAAATATATAAGTGAATTTACATTGATGCAATTTTCTGTTTCAAAGCAAGGAAAATATCCAAATATACCAGTTTGGATTAACTCCAAAGTGTATACCGGAAAGCAAACTGTGATAACGTCAATTACATGACACAACATATATCATACTTTCTTTGTTCATTTGTAGCTTGTAAAACCTCATCCAATTCAATAAGAAAACAGAAGAGCATCAGCAAAAGATTAATTAATGCTACATATAGAAAAACTTGAATAATATTCAATCAAAATGTGTTAAGTTATCATATTATTTATATTATAAATTAATGTAGAGCATTTATGACTTCCGAAAATTGAGAGCATTATATATATTTATCACATAAACCGCGGCGCAGGAGTGTAATAAAGCCATTTAATAAAATGATATTACACTACTGTAATAACACTTTGACGTGACGTCATTTGCGCTATATATAAATATAGCGTTAAAGCGCGCTAATGTTAGCGTTACACTATAGACGCGTCGTTGAAATATTGCTCATTTTAACAGTTTACTGTTCTTATTTTATAAATGTGATAAAAAGAATATTATATTCGTGTAGATTCAATACTAAATTTATTAAACTTGTTGAATAAAACAATATTATGCTCGCCAGAAGGCTCACATAATATGATTTTATTCAACTCGTTCAATAAATTTAGTATTAAACTATACTCATTCAATATCCTCTATTTATGGAAGTCAAGTGCAGTTTAAATTACCTTCATGTTATACATGTCATTGTGTTGACAGTAGCAGTTTGGCTTGTAAAATATGTTTATTAACCTTGTTTAAATGTATGTATATTTAGATATACATCATATTCATTACAATTTTTCGCTACAAGCAAGGATCACACAAATATTTAAGTAATTTTTGACACAAAAATAAACTCGAGGAATAAAGTTTGGTGAGTAGAGTGGACAAACCCCACACCTTTGATTTTATAGAGTGGACATAACCCCACCCTTTTTATTTTCCCCCACCAAAAAGGCAGCGGGGGATATAGAAATAGTCTCTATCCGTCAGTGTTTCCGTCCCACATTTTGTCCGGAGCAAATCTCATTAAGTGTTTGAGGTATCAACTTGAAGCTTCATAGGTGGATAGATCATATTGTGGAGGAGTGCAGTACACAGGAATGATAACTATCCTACATAATCTTTCAGTTATTGCTCTTTGATATTTTTCAAACTTAATTTTTGTCCAGAGCATAACTCAAAAAGTCTTTGAGATGTCAACATGAAACTTCATATGTGGATAGATCTTATTGAAGGAGGAATGCTGTGCGCAAGAATGATAACCCTACCTTTTACAATTTTTGAGTTATTGCCCTTTGTTATTTTCCATAATTTTTGTCCGTTTCCATACTTTTTTATCTCAAAAAGTGTTGGAGTTATCAACTTGAAACTAAATAGCTGGGTAGATCTCATTGAGGAGGAGTCCAGCACACAAGAATGATAACCTACCCTGCATTATTTTTCAATTATTGCCCTTTGTTATTTTCAGCCATCAGTATTCACATAGTTTTCATTACCAAAAGACCTCTTAAAATTGAATTTTTCTGCTCTACTACATATACATTCTTCCAATGAGCAAACACATACGGCAGGGGATTGCCATGTTAACATGGCTCTTGTTACTTATTTGTATAGACAATAAATAACCAAAATTATTGACTTTTAGAATAATTAATGTTAACTAAGGTTAATGGATGTTTACCCTTTGATTTTTATTCAACAAAGTTTGTCATATTAATTTTGTATAGTCTTTTATTATTCAATCATATTGCATTGTATACTGAAATGAAATATAAGATACCGTTTATTATCATAATCAAAGGAACTATGTAAAATGATTAAAGTAACTGTACAATGTATATTAAACTTTTTAGTAAATCTTTTCTTACAAGAACTTTCATGATCAAAGTATTATGAATTGTATGTTAACAAATAAGTAGAAAGTGTGGGGTTATGTACACTCTGGAAAATTAAATCTGTGGTGTTTTGTCCCCTCTATAAAATGTTGAGGTGTGGGGTTTTGTTGTACATTCTGCAAAAACATATTATGTATGTCTGTTCATGTTTTAATAACTGCTTAAAAATGTCAATATGAAATTAGGCACTTAAACAAGTTTCACAAATTAATATAGTTGGTATGGTTACTTCTACATATACTAAGGCCTTTCTGACCCATTGTTTTCTGCATTCGTATATTTCAGGAGCATATTCAACAATACAGAAATGCCATGTTGGTGGAGTGTATGGCTGGGAGGTTGATGCCTCGCTTCTGAAAATAAATCAGCTACATGACAGGGAAAAAAAATCATGATTGAAAACTGCTTATTTGTACCCGAAACAAACAAACAAATTAAAGTTTTCTATCTGTTTGATATTTAAGCATTACTTATAACATGCAGTAATATTTTCTGTTTGTTATCAGTTTGAACTATATTTCCATTATTTTTAAATTATGTCATTTGGTAATTGTTTTTAAAAATTTGATCGGTGGTAATCCATTTTTATGAGATAAAAAAAATCTCACTTATCCAGAAATAATTTTATTGTGAAATAAGAAATACAATGTACTATACAAAATCATTTGCATTAGGTATTTGTCCAGTTCTTTTAGAGCAGTTCATGTTTGGCATTGGCCCCACGAGTGTTCATTAACCCAGAGATTGCAGTGTAATTTTGCTACCTTGTGTCAACTGTGTCGATGTTTATCAAACGGTCTTTTTTGTATTATAATGAGTAATAAATAGAGACAACAAAATGTGTGCTTATTGTAGTGTCATCTTTACTGAAAGGTCCAGTCATCTTGACATTAGACACTTTATCCCCTAATTCCTTTTCTGCCAGGCACTACAAAGTTGTGTGTACAATATCCCATATAAGTCCCTTACTGGTTTAGCCAGAGGGAACTTTGGGTTTTCCCTCTGTCCGTCTGTCTGTCTGTCTGCCTTCCATCCACAAAACTGGATCCCAAGATAACGCAAAAAGTACTGAAAATATTTGCATGATATATGGGTAGATGGCAATCTTGAGATTATGCACGTATTTTTCTTTTTAGCTCACCTGTCACAAAGTGACAGTGTGAGCTTTTGTGATCGCTTTTCGTCCGGCGTCTGTCCATCCGTCCGTCCATCGTCCGTCCGTAAACTTTTACTTTAAATGACATCTCCTCATAAACCACTAAGCCAATTTCATCCAAACTTCACAGGAATGTTCCTTTTGTGGTCACCTTTAAAATTTGTTCAAAGAATTTAATTCCATGCAGAACTCTGGTAACCATGGCAACCGAAAAAAAACACTTTAAATATCTTCTTTTAAAAAACCATAAGAGCTAGAGCTTAGATATTTGGCATGAAATATCTTCTAGTGAGTGTCTACCAAGTTTGTTCAAATAAAAGCCCTGGGGTCAAAATTGGCCCCGCCCCGGGGGTCATTGATTTTCCAAATATGCATTATCATATAGTAAAAACTTAAAAAATCTTCTTTTAAAGAACCCAAAGAGCTAGAGCTAAGATATTTAGCATGAAACATGTTCTAATGGGTATCTACCAAGTTTGTTCAAATAAAAGCCCTGGGGTCAAAATTGGCCCCGCCCTGGGGGTCATTGATTTTCCCTATATGCATATTGTAAAAACTTAAAAAATCTTCTTTTAAAGAACTCAAAGAGCTATGGCTAAGATATTGAGCATCAAACATGTTCTAATAGGTGTCTACCAAGTTTGTTCAAATAAAAGCCCTGGGGTCAAAATTTGCCCACGCCCCAGGGGGTCATTGATTTTCCCTATATGCATATAGTAAAAACTTAAAAAATCTTCTTTTAAAGAACCAAAAGAGTTAGAGCTAAGATATTTAGCATGAAAACATGTTCTAATAAGTGTCTACCAAGTTTGTTCAAATAAAAGCCCTGGGGTCAAAATTGGCCCCGCCCTGGGGGGTCATTGATTTTCCAAATATGCATATAGTAAAAACTTAAAAAATCTTCTTTTAAAGAACTCAAAGAGCTATGGCTAAGATATTGAGCATCAAACATGTTCTAATAGGTGTCTACCAAGTTTGTTCAAATAAAAGCCCTGGGGTCAAAATTTGCCCACGCCCCAGGGGGTCATTGATTTTCCCTATATGCATATAGTAAAAACTTAAAAAATCTTCTTTTAAAGAACCAAAAGAGTTAGAGCTAAGATATTTAGCATGAAACATGTTCTAATAAGTGTCTACCAAGTTTGTTCAAATAAAAGCCCTGGGGTCAAAATTGGCCCCGCCCTGGGGGGTCATTGATTTTCCAAATATGCATATAGTAAAAACTTAAAAAATCTTCTTTTAAAGAACTCAAAGAGCTATGGCTAAGATATTTAGCATCAAACATGTTCAAATAGGTGTCTACCAAGTTTGTTCAAATAAAAGCCCTGGGGTCAAAATTGGCACCGCCCCGGGGGTCATTGATTTTTCTTATATGTGTATAGCAAAAACTTAAAAAATCTTCTTTCAAAAAACCCAAATAGCTAGAGTTAAGATATTAAGCATGAAACATCTTTTAGTGAGTGTCTACAAAGTTTGTTCAAATAAAAGACCTGGGGTCAAAATTGGCCCCGCCCCGGGGGTCATTGATTTTCTTTATATGTGTATAGCAAAAACTTAAAATCTTCTTTGAAAAAACCCAAATAGCTAGAGTTTAGATATTAAGCATGAAACATCTTCTAGTAAGTGTCTACAAAGTTTGTTCAAATAAAAGCCCTGGGGTCAAAACTGGCCCGGCCCCAGGTGTGTCATTGTTTTTAACTATATGTGTATAGTTAAAACTTAAAAAAAATCTTCTTTTAAAAAGCCCAATGAGGTAGAGCTTAGATGTTTAGCATGAAACATCTTCTCATAGGTGTCTACCAAGTTTGTGCAAATAAAAGCCCTTGGGTTAAATTGGCCCTGCAACGTGTGTGGGGGGGGGGGCCTATATACAGGTGAGCGACCTCAGGGCCATCATGGCCCTCTTGTCTTACTATGTTGAAAACTGTGCTTGCTATGGTAACAAATAGACTGAAAATATGGCTAATTTAACACATAAACTGAATCCAGTTATAACACAAAAAGAAATGAAGATATCTTTATGAAACTTAAAATATGGGTAGATGGTAGTATGGAGATTATGCTCGTCTTTTTCTTTTCTTCCTTTGTTGAAAAATGTGGTTGCTATGGCAACAAATAGGCTGAAAAATATGGCAAATTTAACAATATTTGTGATTTCAAAGTTCTGAAAACATTTGTATGATACTTAAAATATGTATATAATGGATAGGTGACAGTAAAGAGATTATACACATCATTTTAATCTTGACTATAGGGAAAATATTGAGAGCTGTTTTACTCGCCAAGCGTCTGCGACCGTGTCAAGATTTCTGATTCAAGTTTTAACAGTTTTTCACTATAAGTTTTTTATTTCTTAAGGTATTTACTTCACACTTTAAATACAAATGTATATGTTTCTGATCATCCACATAAGGTTTACAACTTGAGCATAAAAATATCAGAATTACCACCCTTGACCTTAGAATAGTCATGATTCTTTATTTCTAAATGTCTCTACTTCAAACTTCATACTGATGTTTCTTGTCACTCAAATCATTTGTAAGAAGGTTCAATACTCTGACTATTTTCAGAATAATGTTCCCATTGAACTTAGATTTTTTTACATTATCTAGAAATTATTTTTTACTTAAACTTCTTCATTTCTTAAAGCATTTACTCCAAACTCCCACATCATAAAAATATGACAAGGGTTATAAATCTAGCGTTTATATTTCCAGAATTATCTCCTCCTTAAACTTTGAATTTTTCTTATTCATTCTTAAACTTTTTAATTTCTCCATGGATTTACTTCAAATATAAAATAAGACATTCATTATCAACACTTACATCATATGTGATTAGATTTTATAAGTCATGGGTTTCACTTTGAGCTTGAAATTTATTTGATTCTTTATGCTTCCCGAAGGGTAAGCAATATAGTCGCCGCTTTCTCCGGCTGTCTTTCTGTTCATCTGCTATTCTTGTATGAAACATAACTTTCAAACAACAATAGGTATCAACATGAAACTTTGTATGTAGATAGATCTCATTGGGTAGAAGTGCAGTGCAAAAGAACCTTAACTATGTCTTGCCTAATTTTGGAGTGATTGCCCTTTGTTCATTTTAACATCCAGGACATATCTCTAAAACTATAAGAGATATCAACATGAAACTTTATAGGCAGATAGATCTCATTGAGTAGAAGTGCAGTGCAGAAGAAACATAACTCTGTCTTGCCTAATATTGGAGTTTCTGCCCGTTTGTTCATTTTTACACTTTAAACTTTGTCTGGGACATAACTCTAAAATTATAAGAGATATCAACATGAAACTTTGTAGGTAGGTAAATGCCATTGGGTAGAAGTGCAGCGCAAAAGAACCATAATTCTGTCTTGCCTTATTTTGGAGTTATTGCCCTTTATTCATTTTTACACTTTGAACTTTGTCCTGGTCATAACTCTAAAACTAATGAAACTTGTAGGCAGATAGATCTCATCAAGAAGAAGTGCAGTGCAAAAGAAACATAACTCTGTCTTGCCTAATTTTGGAGTTATTGCCTTTTGTTGGGTAGAAGTGCATTGCAAAAAAACAAAACTTTGCCTTTCTTAATTTTGGAGTTATTGCCCTTTGTTTATTTTACACTCTGAACTTTGTCTATGACATAACTCAACATAACAAGAGGTAAACTTTCCAGTTTCCAAGCCCTTTTCGAGGAGCATCAACTGGTTCTTGTTTTTTAATACTTTAAAATTATTTTTTCACTTCTTCTTTGTGACTTTAAACTTAATATTAAGATAATATGTTCGTTGTTACACTTACATCATGTATGACAATGTTCTTAAGTCTAGCATCTTTATTTCAAGAGTAATCTCTTAGTTTTAAGAGTTTTACTTTTAAAATTTATATTCTGGTAACCTCCATTTACACTCTTTGTCTTTCAGTCCGTCTGTCTGTCCATTCCTAAAACATGTTGTCTGATATCACTTAAAGATTTTTTCCAACAAATATCTTTAAAGAGAGAAAAGTTTAAAACATTAGTTATACATAATCTTCTTACAAGGCAGGGAAACTTAATACATTACTTTGAGATAGACTAACTTAGAACTCGAACTATTTCAGTTCTTATTCATGCTATTTATTCATTCAATGACATAATTGAATGGCCAATCAGAATGTTGTTGGGGTTTTACCGGTTGAGGACTTATGGATTGCTTGCAGTACCATGATAATTGCTTGTTGAACTAGTTGGTGGCCTTCAAACTTGTAGTCGAGATTCAAGTATTCGACCTCGCACTTCCAATACGTTCGTCTTTATCACAAAGTACTTTTATGCAAATTGGATTTTAAGCGTCGGTACTAGTACCGGTTGCCCAACGTACACAGAGGTAGGTTAACTTATGCCTATGTTTATATATATATAATTTGTTTACAAATATTTCCAATCCTTGCAGAATTCGTGTTGTTGCATACGACCGTAAAAAAACTTTTAACGCTTCTTGCGATGACATTTTGATTTTCGAGTATATATATCAAAATGAAATTCGGTTTTCGTAGGTAAAGCCGAAGTGAAGTGACTGTTTATCTGAATCTAGTTAGGGAATAGATATCAATTCTGAGATCATTGTAGAATAATGCACGGTTTGAGTTCAAATGCGTAGTAATATAATCACGAACGCCGATAGGCCTGAGTGATTAATTACAAAGCATTTGAACGAAAAACGTGTATTATTATACAATAATGCACGAAGAATTAATATCTATTTCCATTCTAACACGTCAAGAAAAAATATAATTACTATTATTATGCTGGACTTTATGTTTGGTGGTTGAATTTGTTTTCGTCTCAGAGTTTCCAATAGAAATGTTTTTAAAGGCCGTTCCTGTGGGTTGAAAAAAAACTCGTTAAATCTACCGTG